GTAACAATTGCGCTCCTCGTTATGAAAGGAGCAGAGATGAGGAAGAGGAGCCCATGGCGCTTGCAGTCTCAGGAGCCATTCCTGCCTCATTGCATTTAATGGATCTCTCAACCAGCAAACCAATTTTCAGCTCTATCATTTACACATCCATTATGACTAGCACACTTTAATGCTAAACCGTAAAACTTAAGATACATTACTCTGAACACATTCAGCCCAATTGTAGCAAAGTAAAGACCATTTGGACTTGTCTCACTGTGTAAACCCAAATTCATCATCCGTAACTCCACCCTCCTCTCCCAATTTCTGGTTGGAAATCCTAAAAAGATATTAAGTGAAAAACTACAAGGGTTTCAGAATTGCAAGTTTTCAAAAGAGAAAGCTCAGGTTATCACCATGGAGAACAACATTTTTATAAGTAAACAGGAGGGAAATTTGACACACGACATCACCTATACTGAGTGGTTGTGGTGAGATTGCGCAAACCGAGGGGTTTGGAGCCAAATCAGTTTTTTGACGAGTTTTGTGAATCAAGACATACTCCGCTCTAGATAGACAGGAAGTTGTCACCAGATGACCTGCTATTGCACAAAATACACCTCACTGATTGCCCGTTAAGCACATCATCTCAGATGACATTAAGTCAAATTGTGTAGTGACACTAAGTTAGCCATCATCACAGGAAGCATTATGAGAAGTGATCAAGGCAGATGCCCCGGGCAACTATCGGGTTGTCAAACACCAATTCATCTTCTCACCCTCGGTATACTAATATGACGTCAAAAGCTACAGCATGACTCACCAATAAATGCAGATAAAAAAATTGAGATAGGTGGAACATCTGATTCAAGTTCATCCGAATTTTATAATAGAACGTTGAAAGAGCAGTGTCCAACTAACTATCATGCCTTCATGCATTTCATGGCAGAGTTTAACGCACAGACTAGGCTCCTATTTCTCCGTATCCATTTTGTCCCGTTCTTAAACATCTTGAACATTTCTAAATCATCCGAATGAATGCCAAACCTTTTTGGCCATAGCGACTACCGGGATTCTTGATCGACTTGGACCAAGGTCTGCATTGTCAATAGAATAAACTGATGCTTTACTAAACGGCGTTACTTGTTGACATGATAAGTGACATCTGATATTTCACTTTAATCCTATTAAAAGTACTAGAATCAGGCTTTAAACAACTGTAAAATTTACCCAATAATCTCTTTTACAAGATGAGTTTTAATTTTCTGCATCGTAATTTGAGTGATGTGGCAGTTGGAGAGAAGTCAGAGAGCGTTGTCATTATAGCAATGATACTTAGTGTTTTCCATCAGCTAACCTATTGTGAAGTGTGACGAGATACGATGAGATGAGATGTGTTACTGTGTGATGCGAAGTAATGATTTGAAGCTAATGCCTGACTGCTGCACCTTATGGAAGTTGGAGTGGTATGCTTTACTCACAGACAATAACCATTTTACAATTTTTCCTTTGATGAATTTTTTACTTATTTTGCCTTTACTAGGGCAACATTCACTTTAATAAGACAATATCAAATCACTCATTCACATGCATCACCGATGTTGGGTTTAACTTGCCCTCACCGACGTGTATGCTACGTCTTGAGGTGCAAGGCAAGGCAAATCGGATGCCGATCCTGCACTTGCATCATCACTTTATAGGCCTGTCTCACATCCTATGCCACATTCACTCTTGGTGAGACTCGGGAAATCTGTGTTACCAGTGGCAAAAGATGTGTTATATGCAATGCTGAGGCTAGTTTTACCCACGATATGAAAGATATTATTGGTGGCGATAACTGCTTATAACTAAAAGTTAGTTCTCTATATCCCAAAAGCAAAGCAAATGACAACGTTATCAAGTTTCCGAACACATTTTTCCTTTACTTTGGATGTCTTCAACAAAATGTTATTTGAACTTTTGCTAAAATATTTGAAACTCTTGAAAAGCCCTTAAAAGTATCCTAATTAATGCTGGTTGCAAAACTCACGCAATTGTATAATAAATAAGTAAAGAAATAATTGGCATTCAATGAATCGTTGCTTTGTGGTGTATAGTTTTGTAAAGCATTTATTGTCTATTTTTAGCTTTTGTGGCATGGTTCTCAAAACTAGAAATCTGCTGTTGTCAGAAAGTCAGTAAGGATGAGTATTCTGAAATACACTCTTTTATCAATAAAGTAGATGAGAAAGTTCCTTTGGATAAAGCCTGCCTATTAGCTATAACAAAAAATTTGCTTGATTGCTACTAATGAAATTATTAGTTGCAAAATGCCAACGGATTGCAATAATTTTACTTTTATTGTTGCTTGTCATTGTATGCAGAAAGGCATGTTCAGGAAAATGCGGAGTTATAAAATTCACGAATAAAGAAAGCTTGCAGCTGCCCGAATGCAGCTAAATTGATAAAGCTGTCACTCTAAGTACATAGTACAATCAAGTATAAGAATAAAGCAATTTAAAATTTTGTCTAGGGGCGGAAAAACACCTAGGGGTGTAAGTTTACTAACTTGTAATAAGATTACCTTTTCATCACAAGGGAGTGTCAAAATCTACTGACCATACTGATTGATGTGCTTTTCAATTGATGCTTATAAATGGTTATTAGCGCAGATACCTTGATAAAAGATGTATGCTAAGTTAGGGTAAGCAGTTAATGAATGTGGGATAAAGTTGCTAGTGATCAAGCAAAGCAATGCAGTGCAAAGCCTACAAAAACAAACCAAAACCCGGTTTTCTATCACTCTATTTCCTGTTTTACTTTAAATGCATTAAGCCAGAATGAAAAGGATTTGGCTTGATCCTTGGCAATAACATAGAAACCAGGCTTTTCATTTATAATTTACTAAACCCATTACCAATCTATGGTGCGGAAATCTAAAACAGAGCTGCTAGGCATGTTGGGATCACAACAAAGCAGAGGAGAAGCAAGAAATGTTAAAGTGTTTGCAAGAAGATAATTTATCTATTATATGTCAAAAAATGTAGGTGAGGTGCGATTTTGCAGCAAAGTGCAATTGACATGATTGATGCACAAGATCCATTGGCCTGGCTATGTTTGTGGCCACCGCCAACGCCCAGTTACGTGCCATTTTACAAGCTGTAAATGAGAACTGCAACTAGGACTTTATAAATATTATAAATATGGATGACAGTCTTGATGTCCGACGGTTCCATTTGAGTAAATGACTTAACACCATTTCCCTTTCACACTCTGCTTATTATGACTGCGCGAAGAGTACTCAACGTTAGTAACCTTATTTTTTCTCTCCGTTTTCCAGTACAAATAAATCTTGTAGGCTACCCTTATCACAAAACTCCATCTATCACGCGGCGATTACCTCCAAAAACCTTGCTCTATCAGCACCATCAAACACCTATCACCATTCCCCGCATTCATCCTTCCGCCATCATCATTAAGCATTGGTGTAACTAGTGTTTCGGCAACTAGTGATCGCCTCTATTTCACGCCATTGATGCGATGCCTATTCTTTACCTCGTCCCCTCTTGCCAATGCTTTGTCGTTCTCATCACAGGTCCAAATGATGTGGTTAGTGAAATAATGACCAAATGGAAATGGAAGAAGTGAATGCCATTAAATATTTTTTCATTACCCACTCAAAACAACGTTACACGTCCGAAAGTCTAGCCCTTGTATTTGCAACGATTCTACCTTTGTGTTCACACAATCATTTCCCTGTATTAATTGACGAGACTCTATGTACCTTTAACAATCTACTCTTTTGGTGCTTAGGGAATGCTGTTGATTTTTCTACCAATCAGACCTGTTCCACTAGTTTGTGCATTCAACGGAATCAAAATGTGGAATTAGCATATTTTTGCTTACTACCTTGCTGCCTCTACTACTTCTCCACTCCCCATTCCTCACGCTAAAGTGAATCATCCGCGTTTTCATACCAAAGCTGCTCCTCAGCTTCTTCTTCCACCTGTTATTTTATGCCCTAAATACTGCATCTATTCCCCAGGGATACTTTATTGCTCCTAATAACTGCAGCACATGGTGAGTGTGAGTTCAAACATAAACCATTTGTCAGAAAGTAAGGCGAGGGTGCTAGCGAACAAGTGCACTCGGAGTCGTTGGACAGGATAGATGTATTACAGGCATTTGAAACTCAGCACATTAGGGTGTAAACAAACAAGACCATCCAAAAGGAATGAGACATTAAAGGGAAGTCTGCATCATAGAGGGGGATTATCGTTTGCCCCTGGTGAGGTTGGTTATTAATGATCGTTCATTGTAGCACATATCTATTCTGGCTCCTAGACTACCACATACTGGTTAGTAAACATAGGGAAAGCGGATACCAAATCTCTAGTCTAGAAGTCGGGTTTACAAATGTCAATGACTTTAAAAGACGTCTCATTCGCTCTCTATTTTTCACTAACGGTATGTGCAAGAAGCCGTCAAATTAGTTGAGATATGCAGACACTTAAGACTAGCAGAAGCAAGGCATCCGCTTATTCACTTTCTAATCAAGCTAGGTCAGCCTCACAATATTATTGTGGCTTGGACTTAGCCAAATACTGGGTACCAAAAACAAGATTCGAATGAACCTCTGGTGTCCGATATTCGACAAGCACCAGCAAGACAATAAGGGAAATATAATGTTCGTAGTTTCAGAAAAATATATGCGTTTTTCTGCTTCCTTCTCTCCACCCGCTTCTCCTTCTCACCATTTTTGATACTTTGCGGATGAATGTAACATCTGATATGCGTTTAAGACAATTAGAGAACGTGAATTGTAAGTCACACCCCTGCAACACCACATTTCACTTGCTCTTGCAACATCGAACTCACTTTATCTACCACTGGGTCTTTCTAGCAAAATGATATATTCACACAACCTACCTTTTCTTGTCTTTTCTGTGAGGCTCCAGCTAGTCCCAATCGTCATAATACCGATCGTTGTTCCAACTGACTTGTGAAGAAGCGTCCCAATCTTGATGGGAGCTCATACTCACTTACACGTTGTGATTGGAGCTGCGCGTAAAAGTAGACACTTTAGCAATTAGTCGTACAATTTCCTCTAGGAAACACAACTTACTCAAAGAGATGAGATACAAAAACCGTAAAATTAACTGGGTATGCGGCAAATCGAGCCTATGAGGAACATGGCATTAGCATTTCTACCACATGTTTAAGCTACCCCAGAATCGCAGTATCTCAACGGCCTCTACTTTCGGGTGATACTGAATACCATAAACAGACTTCAAATTAACCACTGATGAGCAATATTCAACTTTTGGAAGTCGTTAAGCACAAACAATACAGTGAGAATAAGGCACAGTCTGTGTCTCTGCAAAATGCGTGCTATTCTCTGCCTCTTTCTCCGGCACTCTCCAATTCTTTGAGCATGGGTGTGACATTCAATGTGTGCAAAGTTAATTAGAGAACACGCATTCTACGTTACACCCTCACAATACTACATTCACAGGCACACACCCATGTCCCAGCAGCATTCAGCTCACTTTATTTGCCAGTGCGCCACCGTGGCAGAACAAGTGCACGAAACTTACCTGTACATGTATTTGCATTTGGGTTCCGAATCTATTCGATGTTTATCCTGAGCCGATTCGTAAACGACAGGGACGAGTACATTAAAGGCACTGTCTTAGGAAGAGATATTAGCATTTTTGGCTTTGTTATTGGGATTGGGTGCAAAGTTAGACATAGCAAATGCTAGCCATTCATCATCAACCAGACCATATAATCACTCAAAGATATGGGAACATAAGAAGACACCAAAACATCTGTAGCATGCTAATACGTAAGCCTGGAAGAAACAAGGCCTTCGGACATCAGCTATCTGAGTATATTTATTCCAGCCTTGCAGCATTAGTAAGGCTTCAATTTTACCAAAAATTAGTAGCCGGAAACTAGGTTTTACAAGTAATTTTCAAGTGAGTTACCCTTGAACAAAATCTTACAGCATGATGTTACTGCGAACAAAAGATTAGTTGGGAAGAAAAAGCAAAACATTGAATAATTACGTACCTCCATTCGTGAGCACGGGGCAATGATACATGAAGGCTCACACCCTTGAGGCGGGGAGGAGTTGCGGCGATTGCCAGTTGGAGCGCTACTGCAGTAGAGAAATTGACGAAGGCTTTGCCTATGGTTTGGTCTATCCTTATGTTTGTAATTGAACCGAATCCGCCAAAGAGCTCTAGGATGTTTTCCTTACTTAATTGAGGTGGTAGATCGTGAACAACCAACTGATGGTTAGTTTTGGCGTTACTGGAATTCGCAACTTTTCTTCTAGAAAAAAAATAAAGCGGTTAGATTTGCCAAAATGGGCCTAGGTGTATTACAGTGGCATTGCAACTCACCTCGAGTCTCTCGAATATGCGGGTCGCACGACGATGCTTCTCCCGCGCAGATAATGAGGACACGCCTTCAAAATAGCCTTCACTTCCTGCGGTGTAGCCATTTTCACGAAAGCAATGCCTCGTGGCATCCCACTCTCGCGTTCACGAATCAGGTTTAAACCTGTAATGCTGCCGTAGCGAGAAAAGTACTCCTTCAAGTCCTGCTGCGTGGTCCAACGGTCCAGATTAGCAATGAATAGGCGCAATGCATCCACCTTACGCCCGTCACTAGTGCCAACAGCTTTGTCCTTGCTACCCACCTTGTCGTCCTCGCCCTTAAAAAAGTGCATAACTACTGTTCCACAGATAAACAAAAGGCCTTTGGTGCTTTCCTCATATCATGTCTCATGCCTACCTACTCCGAATTCTACCCACAATACTATTACTACATCAATGCAGAAATGGCTACACTCTAATTGATGGACCACACCAAGCATTGCACTAGCACTCCAACCACTCTGCCAACCACCTCGGGAATTAAGGATTGTAATCATTCATGCACCCGTGCTTGGTGCAGCCAGGAATTACAAACATTCAGTAAAAGGAAGTCCATATAGAGGCAGCAGATCACCTTCCATCATCACTTAACTCCCCCTCTTTTCTTTTATAATTCTGCGTGTTGTACCTAAGATCTTTACTTCACTTCAGCCAACAATCATGGCCATTTTTTGACTCACTTCTAGCCCAGTTAAACTGCAATCTAAAGAATGAATGCCTCGTAGCATGCTCTTTTTGTTTTATATCTGTAGCTCGCCCTTCTCTTCTGCGTTTTCCTCATTTAAACTAAACATCACAGAAGGAAATTATCCATGCATATACAAATCAATGCAAAGATGCTAAAATTAATTTGAAGGGCAATGCATACTCAGAGAAGAGACTCTCCAATTCCTCAGTCTACTTAAAAGACTAACATAAGTGGCAGAAGAAGAACTGACCACCTTCTCCTTCGTCATAAATTTGAAGTCTCACAAGCCCAAGACCACTCTGGATAAAGTGCGGGCAGTCAGAGGCTGTCTATCCTGGTCTTACTCCTCCATCTTCCCTACTGACTGCTCCTCTTCTTCTAGCCCATGGTCTACTCCGACATCGTCATCTCTACTGCGGCCATGCCACTTCAGTTTACCCATGCCTTAAGGAAAAGAGGAGACCTAATCCACGAGACTCACAGTAAAGGCCTTCTACCTCTCAAAAGCATATTAAGTGGAGGAGTACAATCGTCATGCCGCACCTACCTTTGATCGCCAATATTGAACTGAAAAGAAAGTCGTGGGAACGACATCACTATGTCATCCACACCGTTGCAATGCTTCTCACGGCAGTGGACGCAGACCTGGCACTGGCAGTGGTGGCAAAGGACCAGCAGGTTAAGCTCTATTTGCCTCTGATAGGTTCTACAAAATATCAATATCCTAATATTAATTTCGTCTACTCGCTTGCTAATCTATTCACCTGTTGCTTCTACTTCTGCACTCAGTGCAGGCGTAGGTGCGCCTCAACACTGAAATTGAGACGCAGTTTTGCTGCGTCAAATTCCACATTGCAGTGATCACAACATGCTGTCACAGCTCCGGCACGTGACAGCAGACATGGCCACTTAAACTGCAGCAATCACTCATCCTTAACAGCACAGAAGAAAAGACCGAGGAACTTCATTGCTTCCCTCCACGGGATACTGCCCTCTCAATCGCATCTGACAATATGAACTTGGAATAAGACACACAGAGGTAGATGTAAATTTAACACTCAGGAAGCCGGTTAATTGTTCCACTCTACATCCACAGTCACGGTAAATACCAAATCCACTGTAGGAATGTTTCTCCTGGCAGAGTTGAAAATGCCGACAGGTCATATACCACTAATTCCTCGAAAGCCACACCTCTACTCTTTAGGCATCACAACACTTGGGACCTTCAATCCCTTTAGACTCCATTAGCATTTAAAAACTGCTCTCTGCCCCTTAACCTCTGTTCACGACTCTGCCTTCCCAACCTTCCTACAGTGCGCCCATACGCACCCCTTTTTACTATTGGATAATTCATCGCATGATTCTCTCAATCATGCTTCCTTCTCGTCTCCGCATCAACCTTATCATCCACCATCATTGTGTCGATTTCTTTACATTAGCCCTTTCCAAATGGACTATTTTAATTTAGTACTCCTGCCTACAAGTTCAAAACGTGTTTTGCTAACATCGTGTGTGCACTTTTGAAATTAAGGTAGATAACGCCATTACACTTTCTCGTTGTTGTAAATGCTATACCTGTCTGTACAAAATGTTTTAGCTGAATTATCCATCTAAGTAGTCGAGGAAGTAGTAGTTAAATCATGACCAATTACCCAATTTTAGAGGCTTACTCGGCGCTGCCACTCTCTATTACTTTATTTCTCCACTTCACGCCAAAAACCCAAACAAAGTC